GATCAGTTATCTTATTCTCCTGGAGCATCACACATTCAACCTAAGACATGCTAGTCCAGCTAAATGCCCATTAAAACTAGTATCTTTCTAACTTACGACATGCTGTCTAAGCAGTACAATGTAGCAGTAGAGAGGCTCTAAACAACAGGAAGCCTATGATTAACGTGGACACCTACACAAGCAAGTGTCCACCTGTTATCTCACACTCTTTGAAATAGCACCCCCACCTCCTCAGCCCAATTGCCAACAGAAGACTATATAATGAACCATCTGTATCCTAACAGCGAGAGCCAATCGAGATGGGTTGATAATACCAAAGAAGACTCATTTTTTATTCTTTCTCCCCCTTGTGTGTTGTTCGGCTGAGTAACATTTTTAATTGCATGATAAATTGAAAATGTTGGCAGGAACTTAACTTTGGTACAATTTGAGTGTTTTTAATGTTACTTTGATGGTCTTTCTGGTAGATTCTTTGCCGCTCCCTCTGCAACAGAAGGAAAAGCTGACCCCATGAACCAAAGCACTGGGAAGCCAAGCCTGCAGCTATGTGGCATTAAGAATCTTCTGCCAGTCTCTTATGATTTGACTGAACTATTCAATTATGCCTTTTGAAGGGTAAGCTGAAATGCAGATCTCACTGTGGTCCTTAGACCAGTCAGATGAATAGAAAAACTGAAAAAATAAAAAAAAGACGACAACGAGACTGCCGTTTTTGATGGAAAATCGGTGTGATTTCACCCTTTATCTTGCTGAAATGTTAAAAGCCTTCATCAGAGAAACTTTTGTTCCTGAATCAAACACCATCCAACTTTACAAAAGCAGGACAGCTGATCTATTCTCCCACCAAGCCTGTGATGTAACTTTTTTATGATTTTTAAAGTATTTTAACGACTGTTATAAACATATTCAATTTGCTTATAACCAGAAACATGTGTCCCTATTTGGCTGCAGACTGCTAAGGACCATGGACTACTGCGGGGAGCTCGTATTTCAATTAGTTTGAAAGTTTCCAGTAAGATTACAGCGATTCTTCAATTAACCATCCTCAGAGAATAAAATTCCTCTGTAAATTCGTTGGATTTTAAAATGTTTTTCAATTACATACAGGGATGCTATCATAGGCCAGGCAGAGCAAGGGCATCATATCTATTTAATAAAGCCACAGGTGAGCGCGGAGAACCGAAGGTCTATGCTTCGCCCCTACCTTCTTAAACTTACCAACAAATGAAAGCCTATGGGCCTGATCCCAATTGCCAGGTGCCCAGGCTCCTTTTGGGGACCTCCTACCTCTGAATAATAGCCTCAGGTCTACTTAGAGGTCGCCGAGGTGATCAATCATTACTGAACATGTACTGGATCACGCACAGTGCCAAGTACAGAAAACAAAAGACTATTTCCCTCATGAAGCACAGAGTGTGTTGTAGACACAAACCAGTGAGCTTTCCTCCACGATATACAGTAGAGGGTGCCAGAAAGGGGCCAGTGAGAGAGTCCACGATGAGAAGAGGAGGGAAAGGGGAGAAGGCTGAGGGGGAGGGGAGGAAGGTTTAGGTTGCAGAGAAGGACGACGACTAGCACAGAGAAGCCTCATCACAAGAAAGGACAACTAAAATTTGACTGGGAAAGTAGAGCTGGCTTTAGCCCAATAAAAAGTCAGATAGCAAGTGAAAACACCGCAGCGCCAACACTAGTTATGACGACAACATCTGAGAAGAAAGCGCATTTACTACAAGGCATCTTCGAGAAAGTGTTCAAAGCTTAACCCAGCCGACTTTAGCAATGGCTTCCTGCAGTAGGCACTGTTATTAACCTCACGTAGAGATAAGGAAACCCAGCTTACAAAGCCAGTGAACTTAGCAGGGCTAGATCTTAAACGGCAGCAATCTGAGCCCTCACCCCTCACCCTTCGTTGCCTTGCTGTACCCTTCCTTAAGCAGGAGGGCAGTGGAAGTCCTGCCGGCACCACAGCTGGGTCCCCACAGTGCTTCTCTTACCCACGCACCCGGATTAACAGTCTATGCTGGAATCTGTGGGCAGAGCATAAACGACCAGGTACATGGCTGTCCCGGTAATTCTGTGGTCCTTTGAGCTCTTCAGACTCGATTTCTGATTATGTCTGTACGTGGGGGGTGGGTATGGGATAGGGTTTCCCCACACCAACAACCAATGTTCCAAACATCAACTGGTTGTCCTGTAATTTACTTCATTTGACACTACCAAAGGTAGTATCACATTCTACAGGTTGGGGGTTGGTGCACTTCAGACATCATCAGTACACCAGCTTGTTACCTGTACTTCTGAATGGCTGGGAGTTCCAACGATCCCTTCCTAGAGTTTCAGAAGCTAGTGTCACAGCCGAGTGAGAGCACCTGTACCTCTGAGCACTTAACCGTAAGTGCTTGGTAACCATAGGGTTACCAAGACCCTTTCCTTGGGTTGGATTAACTTGCTAAAGCAGCTCAGAAGACAATGATGCTTGGTGTATTATAAAAAAAGAAGGATGTAAGTGAAACAGCCAGCTGGAAGAAATACAGAAGACAAGGCTGTAGGAAGAGACAGGGAGAGCTGATAGGCCCCCGAGAAGCACTCCTCTCCCCCCAAATCTCCAGGTGTTCATCGATCCAGCCAGAAACGCCAAACCCTCTTCATTTTGCTTTGCAGGGAGGCTTCATCATCGTAGGCAAGAGCATTTAAATCAGTGGCTGTTCTTCTGCCCCTTCCCCCTTGGAGGCTAAGAGGTGGGTCTGAAGTGCCCTTCACCACAGCCCTGGCTCCATGGGCAACCAGTTACCCTCCTCAGGAGGTTTCCAAAAATCTCCTCATTAACATCTAACCGACACTGTTAAACTCTCATCCTGTAGGAAATTCCAAGAATTTGGGGAACTTTGTGCCAGAAACAGGGACAAAGATCAAACATGCATTTCTTATTATAAACCATAATTTTCAGATATGATGTACATTTTCATTTCTAACCATCAACTACAAGGAAGGTTTCATTGTGTATCTTACCATGGAGGTGGTGTGTGTGAGCGCGTGCATATACAGATGGGCCTTCCTGAAAGTTCTGTCTTCCCTCTCACTTTTACTGTGGACTAAAAGCTGCCCTAAAAATGAAGCTTATAGATAATGAGAAATGAAATGATCAGAATTCAAATGAAAACCGAAGAGAAAATTTCAGTCAACAAACCATGTGAACGGGGGTGGATTGAAACTGTCTTTAAGCCAACTCTAAAATAAGACAAGGACATGGTGACTGTGGAGAAAGTCTCTGGCCACTGGTCATCTGCTAAGAGCCCATTCAAGTATGACCCTGAGCCCCCAACCAGAATGTGAATCATTTCCTTTCTACCTTGTTCTCCGGGGAGGTGGCTGCCTGCTAGAGCCCAGGTCACCCTCCTCCACTGTCAGACCGTGGGGTGGGACACTCCTTCACTTGTTCCAGTTATCTACTCTCCACTCTCCCACACTTTGGGACGCCAAGATGCATGTTTCATATTGTTGAGAATACGTAACATTTAAATATTAAATAAAATGTTGGTACATTAACTTCCCATTCCTGTATTATCAAACATTCCTAGGCTTTTAATTCTAATATCTATATATGTCAATGCACATGAGCTGTACAACTATTAATGTGGCAAACATGAGAGAGCACAGCAGGGTTCTGGAAACATGGGCAGGTATTAAGATTAACAATGAAGGTAGGAAAGACTAGTCAACAGTTGTTAAAACAGGCTGGCCAGTCACTACGTCATGATGTAGAACCATGATGCATTTAAAAACTAAATATTTCGACCCTCCCTGGTGGCTCAGCGGGTTAAAGCACTGCACTGAGAAGCTAAAGCCACTTCCGCATGAGTTCGATTTCCGCCTACCCCGGAGGTGGCCACATGGCGTGGCAGACCTCTCCTGACCTGCCCACTGCTCCCCTCAGCAGTGTACTTCGTCGATCTGCCTGTTCTGCTCCCCACTCTGTCTCTGGTGAAGCCTCTCACCGCCTCTGAGCCTCTGGCCTGTACCCCAGTTCTGTATGTACAAATAAACCTTTAAAAAAAAAAAACTAAATATTTCCAGGTATAAGCTAATCACTGCAAAATATTCCAAGCATCTCCAGTAGATCAATAGAGTGTTTTTATCCATCCTTCAAGGAGAAAGTTCACAGTTATAAAATAATTGAAATGATCACTCCCTTCTCTCAACTCCTCAAGCAATGAGAGGCAGAGCATCAACCGAGCTGTTAATGATTATGTCCTGGTATTGTTTCTGATAGCAAGCCTTCCTTTCCTAACTAGGTCTTAAGGCTCTCTTATTTCTTGGCTTCTACCCCTTCCAATGCCTCAGAAGTCTTACGCTTAACAATCCTTCACAAACCTTTGATTGACTATTTGAACCATGATTAGCATTCTTTTTGTCACAGAATATAGGTCTTATTTTTATTTACTGATATTTACTTATGTCACCTTGCCTCTAAGTATTATCTCCTGCAGATTACAACTATTTCATAACCACATATAGGTACCATATGTCCTATATATCAAAGTTAGGTTGATAAGAACATAGTGTTTAGAGGAGGTGGCATCCTATGTGTTTTTAAATAATATCAGCGGCTGCATTTGCCCTTTTCCAATATCAGGTATCCCTGTCATATCCAGCAGACACTGCAAACATTGAATGTAACGGCCGTCACAGAAGATAGGCATTCCCCTCGCCTGTGACTGAACTCACGTCTGCCATCTGTAAGCAGGAAGAGAATGACCTCATCTCTTTTTGTTCCCAGTTCCCTCTTGAATGGTAACAGCTCTATAAATCCTGTAGCCATTGTAATAGTTTTAGCTACTGGGCAACAGATGCTGGGAAATGATAGAAGCAACCGATTATGGAGTCGTTAAATTGTTGTTATCTTGAGAGATGCCTGTGGAGGCAGACCACACACTCACATGCTGTAAAACACTTTGGATTTTCCTCCAGAAAACCCATTTTTCCTGATTTCAGTCACCCACCTTGAAGTTCTCCACTCCTACTGTAGAGCTCCCGCCTCTGCTCCCGCAAGTAGGCGCTCATGCTGATGGCATGGGAGGACGACTCGAACCTGCAAGCAGATGTGGGAGAGTGGGCGGTTAGGGGTAAGCAAATAGGTGGTGTCCAGCTCTGTGTGCCAAATACGTTCTATTCTAGGCTGCGTGGTGCCCCCATGCTCCACATCAGGAACCGGGTCAACCGTTACATGGCCCTGTGTGTGTGAACAGCGTTCCAGGCTGAGACTCCTCTACCACAGAATTTAGAGCTTTAGCTCCTTTTCCATTTCAATGGGTCCATCTCTGATTTTTTGCAGACTGAATGTTTTGGCCCTCGGGCCACCACCATCCTTTGCCAGCAACATGAAGGACTCGTGACATCATTCTAATTTTGCTCATATTTTCCTAATTTCCACTTGAATTACTGGACCCCAGAGCAGACATCTTGCCTTTCTAATTCATCCTTTTAGAGATCTGGTATAAAGAACATGCTGGAAATGTTGCTGAACACTCAGGAAAAGAAGGCATCTCTGGCGTCTGCTTCAAATCCTCAGAAACAGCAGAGCTTCTAAGTGGTTATAGGCCTCCAACCTGCCACCTCCCATACATACACTCGCAGAAACACCAAGCTACCAAATACCTGTTCATGCTACCCAGAGCTGCGTCAGGTCAGAAACCTGGGGGGTGGCTCACAAACAAAACTGTCCTCTGGAAGCTAACATGACACACAGAAAAAAAAAAAAACCACAAGCCTCAGTCTTAAGAGAAACTTGTGGGCAGAAGGGTGGGGGAGACAAACAGGTAAAATAACTATAAACAATAAATCCTTTAAGGTGCTCAGAAATTCCATTTCAAATCTGAGGCTGTGAAATCCAAACAGCAGGCTGACAGGAGAAATCCCTCCCTGACTGACTGTCACTACGGGGTAAACAGCAGCAGGATGAAAGAACAGCAGCGATAATGGGATAGGGTCTGGCAACAGGACAGAGCGCCATCATTTCCTTAATTATGCCTTCTTTATCCATTCCTTGACAAGGAAGATGAATACCACGACGAATGTCAGTCTGAGGGAAGCACTTGGGTTACTTGATCCTCGCTCTGCGCCCTGCCAAGAACTAAGAGGGCGCTAACAGCCAGAAGGCAGGCAAAGTGTGCAGTACTTCAAAAGTGCCACCTGCCAGTCAAGTGCGGAAAAGAAGCCACTGACCTCCAAAAAGCATGCTGACAACTATTGATCAGAAATGGCAAAGGGAAAAAACAAACTCTTGAGCAAAGAATAGAGAGGCACACATTCTACAATGAAAGCCAACTTAAACACACTTAATTAACCTTGGCTAGGGGCAATTAGCGAGAGTAATAAAAGTCCTTCATGGATGTGATAAAAACAGACTACAGCTCACAAGAATCTTAATCCTTTCAACCTCATGCATTTTTGTACTCAGGAATCCCTTTTAGGTTTGCAACAAATCACAAATTGCCCTTGTTTTCCTGCAAAAGAGGCATTAGACCTGACTGAGTCTCACCTCCTTATTTGAACACCAAAGGCCCCAAGGTGCACTCTGGGACACCTGCTTTGCCCACACAGCTGCTCCATGTTCAGGACACAAAACAGGCCAATCTGTAATTATGGCCTCGTCTGGTGTGGGTGGTGAGTTTTCATTACTATGCAGTAAGAAGTGGGTCACAATTACTTAAGTTCATTTCTACCAATGTATATATTTTTCTAAAGCCACGATCTCAAGATTGGCCAAGTGTTTGAAAAGGATATGGGCTCAAAGGCTGAATGTTAGGGAGGATGGTTGAAATCATGAAATCCAGGAGCCCAGAGTGCACACTGCATCTGGACTAGGAAAGGCTGAGCTGAGTGGGGGTGAAGGGAGGAAGGCGGAAGAAGGTGTATTAGGCAGCACCTGAGGGCATCTCTGGTGCTGCTTCATCCACATTTTCTTCCCATTATCTTTCTTGCTTGTTGGCATAACCCCAATTCTCTCTCAATATTCTGTCCCCTGATCCCTCTTCACTCAGCGATACTCTCAAGAAAAGTAGCTCCTTCCCCAGCTCTAAATCTATCACCAGAGAGGAACCCTAACTGGTTTAATATCATCACCAAGATCTGCTTTCCTTTGCTAGTGACTGGTATGGGCATGCACCCCACTCCTAGAACTCGAGAAAAAAAATTGCCATTGGCTTTATTACAGGCAGAAAAGATTAATAACAGGGTAATCAGTAGTTCCTTACAAAAAGATTTTAAATGGTAGTCACTTTGAAAGACAGCTTTCCAGCATCTTACACAGCTAAACATAGCCTTACCCATATGATCCAGTAATTATGCTCCTATGAATTGACTCAAATGAGTCACATCTACACAGAAACCTACACATGAATGTTTATAGCAGCTTTATTCATAATTGCCAAAAGTTGGAAGCAAGCAAGATGGAATGGATAGTTGAAAGGAAAAAACAAACGTTGGCGCCATCACACGATGGAAAATTATCCAGTGGCCAAAAAGATGATCGATCAAGGTGCAGAGAGTTACAGAGGAAGCTCATATGCATACTGCTGGCGAATGAAGTCAGTTCACAAAGGCTACCAATGGTATGGCCCCAAATAAGGCATCCTGGCAAGGGCAAACTATTAAGACAATAAAAACTCCAGAGATGCAGGGGCAGGGGGGTAGGAAAACCAGACAGGAATCAAAGTAGCAATTTGGGGTATTGTTTATGGCCACGAAACTACTCTGTATGAGACCACAATGGTGGACATGTTATAACGCTTTCTCCAAAATCCACAGAACTGGGCGCAAAGAGAGCCCCGATATAAACACTGGACCTTTGGTACAATGATGTATCACCAATACTGGCTCATCGTTTGTAACAAATGTGCCACACAGTGCAAGACATTAATAACAGGGGACAAAGTGTGGACAAAGGGAACACAAGGTAACTTTGTACTGTCTGTGCAATTTTTTGGTAAAGCCTAGCTCTAATTTTGAAAAAAGTCTGTAGGCAGAATCACACCCTTTCTTTCCCTGGTATCATGTTGCACTGGTGTAGAAGTAGGAGCAGAGAAATAAATATGGCTGGGCTCTTGATGATACTACAGTGTGAGTTTTTAACAATTCATACTTATTGTATACGATAATAACTTTCCAGTACTTAATCTATTTCATTTAAGGGGCTCAGTTACTTGCAGGTTAAGTATTTTAACTGAGGAGTAGTCGCTAATATCCCACCACTGGATAAAAGTGTGAAAAAGAAAAAAAACATTCAATAAACAAAATGGATTTTCCTCCAGTGCAGGCACAGTAAATCTCTTCTCCTTTAGACCACAAGATAAATGAACTGTTGCAACTTTCCTTAATGATTAAGAACTCTGTGGAGTCATGATAAAAATGAGTTTCAAAAGTAAATCAGTAAAAGATACTGGAGCTCCAAATATTTAAGAAGAATAAATTCAAAATACAAAGATTATACTTATACAGTCACTTTACATACTCAGCTTTAGAGATGCAACTTCTTAAATATCTCCTAACTCCTCAAAAGAGATACAGGTGGAAATACTGGATGATTTCACTCATATGTGGAACATAAAAGATGAAACAAAAGAACAGACAAAACCCATCCTAGAAGTCTTACTACAGAACTGAGGCTACCAGAGGGTGGGTTTGGGGATGAGGGGAGCAGAGTGGAGAGGGGACCAGTGGACTATGGTAAAGTATGATGAGTACCTGGGTGGTGCACATGGTAACATACAAGAACCTAAAAGATCTTCACTGGATAAGGTGTTTTATACCAATGTTACCACAGTATAAAATAGAATTTAACAAAGAAAGGGACAAGCCTACCAAAATTTAAAGTTTCTCCCACTTACTATTGTGTGAATTTATATAAATTACTTAATCTCCCTAGTTCTCAATTTTTTAACTGTAAGAGAGGATTAGAAACAGAGCCTACCTTTTTATAAGGTAATGAGACTTCATGAATATGTCTTAATGTCTTAGCTAACACTTAGTAAGGACTTTTAAATATTAGCCACCACGCCTGCTGCCAAAATTTGAGGTAACCTAACTTGCATTATGTTTGAGATTATTTTGTTAAATTCAACTATGGTAACTAGCACACTGTAAGCTTTCATCAGTGCTTACTTTACATGCTTAGCTTTAGAGACATAACTTCTTAAAAATCTCTTAACTTCTCTAAGATAGATAAGTTGAAATACTTGATGGTGGGCCCTCCCTGGTGGCACAATGGGTTAGGACTAGCCGTAGCCACTTCAATGCGAGTTCAACCCCCTGCCCTGGAGGTGGCGTGGCAGACCTCTCTTGCAAGACGATGAAGTGACCGTCTCGAAGGATAAGATCAATGCTCTCATTAAAGCAGCGGGTGTAAATGTTGAACCTTTCTGGTCTGGCTTGTTTGTAAAGGCCCTGGCCAATGTCAACATTGGAAGCCTCATCTGCAATGTAGGGGCTGGTGGACCTGCCCCTGCAGCAGGTGTGGCACCTGCAGGTGGTCCTGCTCCTTCCACTGCTGCTGCTCCAGCTGAGAAGAAAGTAGAGGAAGAAAGAAGAATCTGAGGAGTCAGATGATGACATGGGTTTTGGCCTTTTTGACTAACCAGTCTTTTGTGACACATTCAATAAAAAGTTGAACTTGAAAAAAAAAAATCTGCCTGTTCGACTCCCCACTCTGTCTCTTGTGAATCCTCTCACTGCCCCTGCACCTCTGGCTTGTACCCCAGTTCTGTGTGCATAAAATAAATAAAAATCTTTAAAAAAAAATTACGGGATGGTTTCACTTATATGTGGAATACAATGAAACAAAACAAAGACACAAGCAAATCCAAATCAGTAGAGGTTGCTGTTATAATTAACATTGATGATAATAATGTCATCACTGTTAGCTGTTACAAATGACACACAGTTAGGCACATGGCCTGGCGGCTTTTTTGAAACTGTAACTAGAAATGAAGAATTTCCAGATCTCTCCTATATTAAATCAAATAAAATCCAATACTAGTTAGCAAGGGAGATTTGCATAACTTTATTAACAGAGGTCTTTTCTTGGCACTTGGGGCTTTTCAAAAATTGAAACACTTCATTTCCTCTCACTTCATATAAAATTCCCCAGAAACAACTGGGAAATTTCATTTCTGGGCATTTTATATAAAGTTCCTTAGAAACGAATTCTAGACATTTTCATTATAAGTTCTAAACAATCTGGTGACCATATTCCAAAACAGACACTTCCCTTTGCAGAAAACAAAGTATACAAAAATGAACCTACATTCACTGTCTGGAAATGACTTCAGCTTGAACTGGGTGAAGTGACAGCTACAATTCAAGGAGAAAGCCAGCCCACTCGCATCTAACCCTCCTTGACACCTGCTATCTTACTGGCGGAGAGATACGTACTTGAAAAGAGAATTTTTTGGCCTTTGAGGTTTCTTCTTGGCAAAAAAGGCTGCAAACTCTCGTCCAGTGCTGGCATAACTGAGTTGTGCTGACGGTTCAGAGGCTGTGCGAGTGTTTTTCATATCCAAGTACTCGGTCAGCAGCATCTGCACAGAGAAGCAATTGAATGTACACGTTTATAAAGCGCTATTAAGAAGTCATTTTAAAGCCATGAAAACTTTATTCTAAAACCTCACCCTTGACCTTCACAAGTACATCGACCGAACTATTCATATACTATTAACAGGCCTGTGAAATGACAGCCATGTAGTCACCTATTTGCTATCGACTCTTAAAAACAGGAACAAGTGGTAATAGGGATGGGGTATTTGGACATTGGGATAAAGGAAACATGTTTATTGAGGTTCTACTATGGGTCAAATTACAATGGCATAGCTAGCCACGAGTGCTGGTTAGTGGTACGCAAGACATGTTATCTCATAAAAAAACACAGAACACGATCAGGTCAATTCTCAGGTTATGGAGAAGGAAGCGCAATTCAGGAGGCGGCTGGGGATGGGGGGCTGGCAGCTCACACTCTCCTCTCTCTGCACGGAGAGCACTGGGCATAGCAGCTACCACCTGCCAACTACAGGAACCTTGGCCCATGAGCTATGAGGTCCTGACCTCCAAATAATTTTCAAAGCCAATACTCATTTAAAAGCTTCAAAGTACACGGACGATGGTGATGGCTCATGGGTGAGTTGGTGGTGGGAATTTTACAGGGAGTACACCGAAAGGGAGAAAGCACATAAGCATACAAAGTAAAAAAAAAAATGAACAGTGATGTAAAAGGTATAAAAATAAATAACCAATAAAAATAAAAATTCCAGGGGAGTTCCTGGTGGTGCAAGAGTTGGTGAAGCACAACACTATAAAGCTGCAGCCCCTGCAGCACAAGTTTCATCCCCAATCAGGGAGCTGACCACATGGCACAGCAGACCTCTCCTGTCTTACCCACTGCTCCACTCAGCTGTGTAATTCAGTCAATTCACCTGTTTTGCTCACCACTCTGTCTCTAGTGAATCCTCTCATCCCCTCACTTCTGGCCTATACCCCAGTTCTTATATGTGTAAATAAATAAAAGTTTAAATAAATAAAGATTCTAACAAACCAACTGAGAAAATATGACAAAATGTTGGCTACTAAATACATGGTTTGGATATATGGGTGTCCATTATATCATTTTGAATATACTTGATCTTTTTGAAAGAGGTATAAAAACACATCTATGCAAAAAAAAAAAAAAAAAAAAAGGATTGGTTTATATAATTGCAATATAACTGTCCTTTAAAATGTGGGGGAAAGGGCCCTCCCTGGTGGCGCAGCGGGTTAAAGCACAGCACAAAGAAGCTTAAGCCACTCCCGCATAAGTTCGATTCCCGCCTGCCCCGGAGGTGTCCACATGGCGTGGCAGACCTCTCCTGACCCGCCCGCTGCTCCCCTCAGCAGTGTACTTCATCGATCTGCCTGTTCTGTACCCCACTCTGTCTCTGGTGAATCCTCTCACCCTCCACATCTCTGGCCTGTACCCCAGTTCTGTACAAATAAATAAATAAAATCTTTTAAAAAAAAATGTGGGGGAAAGAAGAGCTTCTAAGAAAGCTTTTTCATGTGGGTACTATTGTTTTTTCTTTGGTGAACTACTACTGGAGAGTCTCGGCTAGAGCTGGGATCTGGCTAGAGCTGGCTGTTTTACTATTTCTAAGATCAGCACTAAAAAAAGTTCTAATGAGGAAAGAAGTTAGCAGACTTGAAACAAAAATCACCAGGGTACCTAAGATTCACCATGGGTGAGAAAGTATAAAACATGTTAACACCTGGGGCTCAAATGCACCTACTCATTCCTATAATCACTCATGATGTGTGAACTTTTAGGATAGCCAAATGGTACAGCATATGGAAGTAGGGGTGAAGTAAAAGGTGCTCAGAGATTAAGCCACGCCATACAGCTGCTCATTCCTGCATACATGCACATACTCATTCATTTGCTAATTCAATATTCAAGGCCTGAGGACCATGTCAAGTGCTACCCTCAAAGAACATTTATGAGTACCTTGTGAAACTGCCCCCAACAAGTTTTAAAACAATTACATTTCTTTTATGAACATAGACATTACTGAGTACTCATCAAACATGCGACATTTTGGAAGTATATCTCAGTCAATCCTTATTCTATCAAGCAAAAGTCAATCTCTGCATTGTAGAGACGGAGAAACCAAGTAGTTGTATTAATGAACTAGCCTACAAGCTTGGGGTTGAGGGAAGAGTTCCTGCACAATCACTACAACTTCCCCCTCAGTTTTACTGCTCTGAGCTACTCTGAAAAAGCAGCCTTACTGAAAAAGGAAGGAGCTGACGTAAGGTCGTATAATTAAGAGTAACAGAGCATTTCAACTGCGCTTTAATTGACACCAAAGTCTGTGCTCTTCCCAATGACACTGTGATGGCGAGAATAAAAGCTGTCCATGAGGACAGCCATAGGTGGCAGTAAGTGGATTTTATTTATTTCATTTTCTAGACAATAAAGATTTTCACTGAGAAAGTATAAAACATGTTAACAGACTGATCAATGCTTTTTTTATTTATTTATGAGGCCACTGGAGTATTATTCAGCATGCTGATGAAGTAATATAATGACAAATATACTCTCTGTGTTAATAAATCACCCAAACTGCCCAACAGTCAGGGAGAATATTGACTTGGGTCTCCAGTAACAACTCAACTAGGGGGACTTAATTATTTTGTAGACTTAACACTGGTCCTAATAAAGTTTGCAGTAACCTGTGATCAAAAGAAGGCTGGTAAACGAGGATAGAATTTCAAATTTCTCTAACATAAGAAGATATCTGCTAGTGTGCTGGTTTCATTCAACTGTTGGTCTTAACACCAACATGACAGAGAAATATTTCTCTGGAAGCATGAAGATACACTAAATGAGTAACTCTCTTTATTCTCCTAGAATTAAATGACTTCATTTATATAATAAAATACTGACTGACAGAACTAAACTGAACTCCATTTTAGAACAGGCATTTTAAGATCACTGGATTTTTTTCCCCCTCCCTATCAACAAATTCCCCTAAATTATTACCTCTCAGCATTGTTAGTCTATTTCTGTATTGACTGACTGACTTTTCTCAAGGCACAAACATTTACTATTTCTCCCTCTTCGAGACAAATTGCATTCTGGTCTTCCTACTCTCTCTATAATCTTATTTCCTTTGTCACTAGGTCCCAAATTTCAAAAAGCAACTTCCGATGCATTATTTCCTTTACCTTGATGTACTTTAGTCCTAATTTCTCTCCCAAGTTCTTCTTCCTCATCTGACTCAATGCTTGACATCTTCAATATTTCATGGATAAAATCAACCCAAAATTCTGAAACCTAAGTGACCTTTCAAAAAAGGCAGTAATCCTTCCTGTCTTTTTTCTTTGTTAATCGTTTGTTATTCTCACTGGTCTCCAGGTTTAAAACTTCAGATCTATCTTTTGATACAGCCCTCTCTTCCTCTATATCCATAAAGGAATGACCCCCCCCAATTTTATTAATCACTTCACAACTCCATTAGTTTACCATTCTCGTCCTTTCCGAAAGTCACCCACTTAGTTTAAATTGAGCATTTTCCCCCTCATGTAACCTTCTACCTTTTTTTTTGCTTCCTTTTCTAGCCCTTTTCATACACCATCAAAAGTTTCCGAAATCACTGTTGCTGTCATTGTAAGACCACTCATCTCACCATCTCCAAACTCTACCAACCCTCAATATGTTTCCAATCATGTCCTGCTCTTCCCTACATGAACCCAGCATTCCAACCACAATCTGACCCCTGGTTGTGCTGTGGCCCACTGGTTTCTGCATAGAGAGATCATTCTCTCTCTAAATGCTAAAAATCCCTTCCAAAAACACTTCAGTGACTCCATCCCAGCCCAGTCCAGGTCAGCTGACATCCTTGCTGAGCTCCCAGTGTACCTGTTTTACACATCATTAAGGATTCAACAAAAATTGCCTTATACTACTTAATGAAAAGATGATCAATTAGTCCGATTCTACATTCCGTAAAGCACTGATTTTGACTCACAGAGTCATACCACATAGCAGAGAAACAAAAAACAATCTCAAGATACCAAAAAGTATATGAGAAGAAGCCTCGCTGTTTGTGTAAGTGTAAGTAAGTAGCCTCCAAAATTGAGTGAGCTCTGTAAATTAGTTCCCAGGCTAATAAATGGCACTAAAGTATGGACTAAGTATGATTTTAATCATAGGCTTTGCTGTCTTTGTTGGTTTCCTTCCTTGAGTTTGCTCTTTTTCCTAATACCATTCACCAGTACCTAAAAGACACTGCTTTAAAGCAGGTAAAGTTTGAACAACCAAACTGGTGAAAATTCACACACCAATTATCTCAAAGAACAAATAAATTCCCATGTCTAAGTTATTTGAAATTTGTTTGAATTCAGTTAAATTTTCTACTAAAGCCTTGACACAAATGTCAGATGTCTAGTATTAAAATATAACCATATAATTTTTTTTAAATTCCACATCACTGGAGATAATGCATCTTCCAAATTGGACATAAGCATTGTAAGCACTAACCTTTGAGTTCAAATTTCCTTTTTTATTAAAGAGAATAAGCAATATAGGTTGTCTTTTGCCTAGGGAAAATCACCCCAGATTGGAATTCTGGGGCATGGGACATCATACACATAATATCAAATATATCCTGCAGTACAAACTACCACGTTCTAGCTGATTCTAAATTCTTTCATATCTCAGATGTTCATGGCTTTACTCTTAGGTATCAGGAATTGCTATTTGTTGTTGATCATGAATTCAAAACATAAAAGCCAAAGTTTATGGGTATTTTAACTTAAAAGATATTAACTTGTAAAACCAAAAGCAAGAAACAATAAAATATGCTTGGAAAATCCATGTAGCCTAATGATATCAGGATCCACTGTACTTTTTTTTTAATGTTGGGTGGCTCTATGGTATAAGAGCTCTGTGGTAAAAGCACATAATAATAACAATGCTTTAAAGAACATACAAAGTGGGTGATCAGACATCTCTCCTGTCATTTTATCTGATTAGTATCTGTTAAAAGACTAG